TTCAGAAAACCTTTTGTCAATGGTTCCAGGCCTGAATATTGTACCTCAATTCTATTTGGACACATACCCGGAACCCATTTGTCATTACAACTTTGACTGTTTGAAAATAGTCTTCCAATTGTTCCATTTTAAACTACGGTCACATCACCATCACATGACTTGCCATGTTGAAAATTTGCATGCAGTCCCAAATGTAACCATGAGAGTCCTATTGGATAACTTCCCTACCTGTCTTTTACTAAGGGCGAAAAACTTTATACACAACAGTTTCCTGACTGAATAAAGAACTCACAATTTTTGAATGTCTACCAAAAACTCACAAATTTGTACATCAAGAATTCACGAATTTGAATGTATATCAAGAACTCACAAATTTGAATGTATATCAAGAACTCACGATTTTGAATGTATATCAAGAACTTTCAAATTTTAATGTATATCAAGAACTCACAAATTTGAATGTATATCAAGAACTCACAAATTTGTACGAATATCAAGAACTCACAAATTTGAATGTATATCACAGGGATTGGGATAGAGAACTTTGACAATGGGCCATTTTCAGGATTATTAGCCATTTTCTCAATTCGGAATTGGCCACTGCCCTTTTATCAATACTAAACTAATGGGCGATTTTTTATTCTAATGTACAAAATGGCCCATGGCCCCTGCCTTTCCCAATCCCTGATATCAAGAACGCACAAATTTGTATTTATACCAAGAACTCACAAATCTGTATGTTTATCAAGAACTCATGAATTTGAATGTATATCAAGAACTCAGCAAATTTGTATATCAAGAACACACAAATATGAATGTAATTCAAGAACTCAAATTTGAATGTATATCAATGTAGATCTATGTCAAACACAGAGGAGAGTCATTTTGATTATTTGCTGCAGGGAAGCTCACAAGTGAGATATTCTCTGCTACATTAGTGACATGAGATATTGAGATACTGACATCTGCCTCAGTCAGTGGTAGGGTCAGATATATATGTTTTCTGAATACCATCACTGTTCCATTGATCTATAACCTATGGGGACGTGTGGTAGACTGAGTCCCCAACAATACATTGCCAGTTGTAAGCACTAAACTGGAAACCTATTGGGATTGTGGGTTAGAACTGGTCCTCAGCAGTCAATGCTGGCTGGAAGAGGCTACATAATGAATGACAAGGTCAGGATCTGTGACTTTGTTGATAACACGGCACCTACCCCTTCTGCAACGATGGTTGTTCACACAGTCTAAGTAAACTTAGGCTCAGTATTAATCGTTACACTTCTATACTGAGCTTAACAAAACCTAGTAAGAGGTCGTGTCAGCTAACCTTTTGAACTGACCAATCAGAACGCAGCTTACCAAATCGCGAAAGTTAAAATTCGCACTTACCGTCTTGAACGATTACGAATGCTATTTTCAGCACGATCGCTTCCAAGTGATACAATAGTGTTGTTTGTCAATATTCAAGGATTTCAGCTTGAGGAAATATAAGCAAATAGTAACCATGTCATTAGAAACCTGTAAGCGTATATACTGCAGGTCAAATATCTGTGTTTGATGCGGATCTTCGTTTGTTGATAGATCAGTGTCAGCGACCAGGGAGGAGAAAATCCAAAAAAAGTTTTGTAAGTCCAGCCGAACCCTAACAAGTTTCTGATTGGTTAAATCTGTTCAGCCGTCTCATGTTTGATTGGACGGTCATAGGTCGCTCAAAGGTTAGCTGACGTGACCTTCTAGGTTTTGTTAGACTCAGTATAGCAGTGTAACGAATAATACTGAGTCCCAAGTTTACTTAGACTGGTTGTTCACACTATCAACAAATGGACTTTAGGGTCCAGACTCGGATTAAATAATACAAACACACACTCAAATAATAATATGCCCTTGGAGTGAGTGAATGACTTTAGTTTTACGCAATATTCCTGCAATATCATGGCAGGAACACCAAAAAAGGCTTCACACTTTGTACCCGTGTATGGAACTGAACCCGGGTCTTTTGCGTAACGAGTGAACACTTTAACCACCAGGTTACCCCACCTAATGCCCTTGGAAAACCATCTAAGATCCACAAAAGGTTAGTATAAGTGTCTTAAGTGATACTTGGGAAGACATCTGATCATTGACAACCACTGTTTTCCATTAGGTGGCAAATGCAGCGGATCATTCTTCCAGACATTTGAAAATGATCATTAATTTCTAACCCGAAGATCTTCTTGACAGTGGCATCCTAATGCAGATACATGTAGAGAAACCTTGGATTACTTCCAATTAGCAAGATGTATAGAACATCAGAGCCCCTTAGCAATGACCTTCACACTGAACACCTTGCAATGCAATCTGGAATTTCATTGGTCAGAATGCAACTGTCTGTTCCTTTTGGAACAGACAGGACCGCCAGTGAGATGGGAGATCCTGAACCTGGGGAAATCTAGACTTGCTTCATTCAAGGCTTTGGCATAAAAGGGGAAAGAGAGGTAAATAATGTGGTTCAAAACTGAGATGGACCAATGTTAAACCAGTAGCCACCCTAATTATAGTACCAACAGTAGTGTTTGAAATTAAATGGGGATGAATGTCTTCAAGGGATTTTCCTGTAGAGCATTACAGATCTGCCATGTTTCCCTCGACTTTGCAACATATTTTCATAAATGAAATTTACTATTCCCTATTTACTGAAGATGAGTGATGAATTTGATCCTGGGGGAATTAAAGGTTAGATCAGGTCCTCAGAGGCCTGTTGGAAGATCTGGTTCACATCATCTCATTAACTTGGCCAGTTGATCACGTCATCAACCACTTGTTTAAGCCTTAAGTCATATTTAATCATCATGATCAGTCCATCAATCCTTACTATTAAATGGAAGCTGATCAGAACTCTCTCACAGTAAGATGGACAGACAGAAACAGCCTAATTAACTTCTGCCACAACTAGTGGAAACTATTTTAAAGATCACTAGTGTCAGAATCTGATGACTCACTGATCAAAGTTTTGAATAGGAACATTTGACTATTTACCTTCCACACAAAAACCTAATGCCAGAAGAAAAACTCACCAAGAGAACTGTCGAGAACTTTAGTGACACTATGTAAATACAGTGTGTAAATGTAAGTTTCAAAGGTCACTAACCAATACTTTTACAATAACAAAAATCAATATTTTAAACTAAGTAACTAAAACAAGACAGTTGGTTAAAGACAAGTAAACTGCTGACAAATATGCTCTGACATTTGGAATGTGTTTCACACCTCTTAGAACAGTATTTCAGATTTCAGTTTTGTTACAGGTTGTCAGCTTGATTTCGGTGGGGGTGGAGGTTGTCAGTTTGGCTGTGAAAACAAATCTGAGTGGGGTGATGGTGTCATCAATTGGAAAGTTTAGTACTGATATGCTGACTCTAAAGTATCATGATATATCAGTTCAAGATAAACTTACTTTGTCTGTGTATTCATAGATACAGAATTCTAGACAAGCAACAAACCACCTTCATGATAATGCGAACATGGCTGTTTTCAACTACATGTTCAAAATTGAAATCTCTGACACCAACAGCACTATCAATATCAGTTGTTAAATCTTAAACAGTGTTCAAAATTGAGCATGAAAATTATGTGGTCTTTGTCATATCTCTTGTGTTACAGTAAGTGGGTCCCCCTGATTAAACTGGAGCAAAGACCCCGTTAATTTCTAATTTTGTGTGAACAAGTGTTGATACATAGCACCTATTACTTACAAAAGCCTTGTAGCAAATAGTGGAAGTATGGATCAGACAATCTATCTGTTGGTAGTGTGAGCAATATAATAAATAATTCTTGCTGTTTGGGCAAGATGACACTGTGAGCATGTTGAGTGAGTTTGGGTTGCACCACTTGAAAAAAGTTACATAACTCAGTGCTGACTTGGAAGGAAAGCATGATGCTGGTATAACAGCAAGACCTTGCATGGTGCCAAAATTTCTTTGAAAATCACTAAACACAGTTGTCCCAGCTTGAGGGATAAAAAAACTGAAGTTATAACCCCATGGATGACATTTGTTCTTTGAGATTCGTGTAATCATGACACATGATATGATTTGCAGAAAAGTTGGAAACATTCTTATCTAAATGGTGCCAATAATCATGCATTCCCCTCCTCTTAGACAATAACTATGGCCCTGTTTCAGAAAGTGATCGCAGCACTACAACTGTCGTAAGTCTGCATTGATGTACAGGACTTACGATAGTCATAGCTCTATAGGGTCAGATGTTTCATATTCCTCGTTTTCACAACCTGAAATACAGTCTCCACAAGATGTAATGGTACATGTAATGGAACAAAACCCTTATCACTGATTTTCAAATAATCACATTTAATAATGTAACCACTTGATATGCTTAAGGGCTTGTTTCCATGTGATAATGTCATGACAGCAAACCTTTGCTTCCACAAAATGGTGTTTTTTCATACCAGCAAACAGGAGTAAAAGGAATTAAGGGATAATCTATTCTTATTAGGCAAGAAACTGTTACATCATTTATGACCAAAACCTAGATTAGCTTATTTATAGATCCAATTACAAGGTGGTTTCTAAGTGCAAGTGGCATTGGCTTTCTTTCTGCCATTTTGTAAAAATGAACTATAACTTAACAACGACAAGTTCTCAAAACATATGGGGATATCCTTCGTGAAAACTGTTCACTTCTCAGTAATCTTGCACATGAGAAAGATGTGTTTTGTTTATGTTAACTTAGCACTGAGCTGGACGATCAATGATCATGAGTCATGTTAATACATTACACAACCTGTAACACGAAACACAATACATGAACTATTTCAAAGGTACATTTTAACAATAACATGAATAGTAACCAAAATGAAGATATATTTGTTCACACACGAAGCCTTCTTCCATTCAAATATTCAAAATAATGAATCCATTTCCGGAAGCCCCTCGGGTTGACCACTAAGCTTCAACCAATCTTTGAATGCCTCGTAAAGTTCTAAAACAGTATATACTTACATGACTAGACGAGATATGATAACAGACACCATTTTTCTAATGAATTACACCATTTAAAATCCATAGACACTCCCAGGGGACGAGCATTAAAAGCATTTTTCGCCCTTGTTTACTGTCCAAGCTCATAAGTTACAACATGGCGGCCATACTGCTGACGTCACCAATATTGCGTGTCACGTGATCAAAACACAGAAGACATGTGCGCGCACATGTACAGGCAGTTTGTCGCTTGTCTAAATTGGTATCGATACTACCAGACAGCACATATGTTTTAATTTTGCCCCTTTACAAATATGTAACTTTACAATAAAGATAGCTTTCAATATTTAATTAATATTCTTAAATGTACGACATTCAGGCCAAAAATTACAATTTCCGCGCTAATCAAACGAATATTTAATTAAATCTACACATTTTCATTAAAAACATAATAACAAAAACAACCGATATGCGAGTCAAACGCAGGCTAAACATCTTTCACTTAACAAAACAGAATACATTAGGACCTAAACATTCTGGTGTAAATGCTCATGAGCGCACGTGACTCTTTCGCTACCTGAAAGCTTTGGGAATTATTTATCAACTACATTGAACCAATTATAGACAAATTACTACAAGAAGTTGTCAGACGAGTTTGTTTAACTAATGTGATCAAATGCACACTCATGTGCGATACACAAGTAAAGTTAGAGAGGAAAACTATAGGGACTATGTTTGCTTGCGGAAGAAGATCTAGATTTGACCTTTTGACCCACCAGATGTCAAATTAATGTTATGTATTCCTCCTCAGCGTAATCAGAGTGCAGACATTCCACGGAAATTTGTCCGAGGTTTCTAGCCAAATTTCGGTTTCAAAACGATAAAAATGGATACTTGAAGGAAGATATGGCGCTTAAATGCAGGGAAGAACTAGTTGGGAAACGGTTTTTGTCAGTCAGAAGCCTCACAAAGCTAAAAGTTAGCAAAATAGGTGACTGGGAATGGCGGTCAGGAGTTATACGAGCTGTTTCACCGACGTGCAGAGATACTACAAGCACGGAATTGACGGTAAGTTCCACAAATGTCACTTGAAATTAGAATTCATCCTTCTGACATAAACACGGTGCATTTGGGCATCGTTATGTGTTGAAAGTATGTCGCTATGTGCAAAAACACGTTCAGTGTGAGCCGTTATGTTCAGTACTGTTATGGGCAGTAGCCTGCAAAACATGCCGATTCTGAAGCTTGGTATCGGGCCAACTTAGATTATTCAAGGGATATCCCTCCCTTTCCATTTTAGTCCTTTATAAATCACCTTTGTCAAATTGATTATAAGGGTTATGGATGTGCTTTCGTTCACGCGTATTGTTAATTAAGTTCATTTTTGCATTGTTAATTTGTAAACAACACCCACATGTGTATCGGAGTACATTGGAATGTGATAGTGTGTCACTTCAGTCTGTCATGAATGCCACGTTGAAACTCAAAGTTCTTTCTGTATATTTAGTGATTTTGTTTTATTGTTTAGTTCATATAAGTTACGTTTACAGGAACGAATGAAGGTTCAGTTCAGTTTCTTTATTGTTTTTCCCATGTATCAGCTGGGCTGGGAAAGCGAGAACATTAGTCTAGATACAAGATGTGACTAAATACTCCCAAGATTGCTTCTCTTATCTATTCTGCTTCTATAATGTACTGATCCTCCTTTCTATGTACCATATTTGATTGTTCATTTCCATTTTCATGATTTTATGCATCAGAAGAAAGTGAAATGCAATCTGCCATGTGTCACTTTATGAATGACTTGCAATATTCATAGTTGACTATGATGATGTATCACACTTTTTGTATGATGTTTAGCATTGAAACTAACATTGTGGTCTGGATATTTCATTATTTGGGATACTCTAAACAATTAAGTGTATTTGAAAGAAGCATCCTTGTTGAATTTCACCAAAGTGGTAATGTATTAAGCATTGTGATGCGTTGTTGTAATGAAAACACTACTTTTTTAGTTTGGATGTAATGATTTTAATTCATTTGATTGTAAGGTATGAAACAAAGAATATTAAATTGCTGGTTGATGTGGTTTTCATAAGTGTGTGTTCTTCAGTATACAGGGCTCGAGATAATGGCCGCATCAGATATAAAATATGTGCGATAAGGTAGCAAATAATTTAGAAAACGTAGCAGATACGCACTACAGCAATGGTGTATGATCTTAGAATCATTTACAGACGTATTTATCTCAAAAGTATTGTTTATTGACCCGTTTACACAAGAGTAGCAATGTTGTTGTGCATATATGAAACAGAAGATTACTGGTACTCCATTAAATTCCATTAAGTACTCTAAATGTACTCCTAAGGTTTTCCAGTACTCCTGCATTGAAAAAGTAAGGAGTACGTACTCCTGATGTCAAAAATGTTTCTGGAGCCCTGGTATATAAATATAGAATGGCCAGTTATCCTCTGATTTGGATCATATTATTAAAACATGTTATTGATATTAGCAACCTTTGAAACAGTCAGTGTCAATGAATTGGACTTATCTGAAACCTTTTGTTATATTCATCCCATGCAAAATACCCATGTATTGGTCAGCACCCCGAGACACATGTCCAAAACTGTGAGTTTCTTAATTAATTTTGTTTTGTAAGCATCAGCTGATAATATCGATAGTCCATATATTGTTAACAGTAAAATCTACTCCAACCGATTCCAAAGATTCAGCATATGCAAAGGTTGGTTAAGATTTGCACATATATATTTATTTCAGTAATTGTACTGAGAGACACTTTGTTGAAATTATGCAGTTTGTCTACGGAAATTTGTGACATTCTGATGGGCTGGCATGTGAACATTATAGTCATATGTCACATTATAGTTCTTCCTTTTTGGTATGAAATGTTTGTGTCAGTATATGGTGGAAGAAAACATTGAAACAGATGTGTGGTTCCCATTTCTTCAACATTACAGCCACATCAAAGAGAGGATATCCAAAATAAGTTTCACATAGCTTGTCCATGAAGAAACAACACCCAGTCCTTGTTCACTATGAGCAAATGCAATGTACACCCATTGCATTCTCAAATTTATGTGTGATTTGAACCTATGAGAGTCAAGTGTATATCTTTACCAAAATGTGTTCATCTGTTGAGACGTTCAACATTCATTTTCTTTAGGTAGTTATCTTGAGAGATGTTTTGAATGACTTTGTCATAGCAATTATGGAGTCTCAACAGTGTTATGACCCAGTAAGATCCAAGTTAGAAATGATATTCAGCAACATATGCTTGTAAGACACATGTCTAAAGTCTGATCATATCTCAGGGCGGTGGGGTAGCCTAGTGGTTAAAGAATCTGCTCATCACGCCGAAGACCCAGGTTCGATTCCCAACATGGGCACAATGTGTGAAGCCCATTTCTGGTGTCCCAAGCCGTGATATTGCTGGAATGTTGTTAAAAGCGGCGTAAAACTAAACTCACTCATTCACATGTGAATTGTGTAGACAGATGCACTGGATTGTGTGTTCGTTTTGCCAGTGTTTGAGTGTAGTCTTCCCATCCTTGTTGTGTTCTAGGGCTGGGCAGCTTGCTAAAATTTCAATGTGAGTCCTGACTGGCCAGGTTCATCATATCCTGGCTGTACAGCAAATGAATAGATCATTGTTTTATACTTTCAACCACTGTCTGTGCTGGCCATTGCTTTTTAGGTCTGAAAATGTGGTTACATGTTTGCTGTCCTCATAAACTTATGGCCTGAAGGATTAGTGTGGCATTTGTGAATGCTTAAGAGCAGTCATAATTGTTGAGATGACCTATTTTAAGGTAATCTGAATTAGAAGATTGAAGACTAAATGATGACTAGTTCTCATTTTGGTAATTTCACACTAGTTCTGGACAGATCAAATAAATCAAACTGAGACTCCAATTTTGTAGCTATCTACTGTTTGAACTCTGGGAATGTTCTTTCTCAAATTCAGTTATGTGTTCAAGATTTATCTGTCTGCCCAGAGGGTGAATTCGACCCCAAGTCTGAAACCAATGAATGTAAACATTTCCTATTGTAATAAACAATTTCCCTATTTTTCCAAATTTACAAAAATATGAACATTAAGGAAAATCCAATTTTGGACAATATCACAGCATTTTTCTCAATTTGTCCAACACTAAGTTTATAATCCTAGATTAATCCTGGTGTTGATTTATGTTGTATGTTTGTTGAACTTGATGGCTATGTGTTAATGCATAGATTTTATCAGTGTTCAAGTGGATGGTTCTTGCCTCAGTCCCATTGACCCTCCAATATGGAGGGTAATTACTGTAACTGGGCTACACTTAGTGATACATGCATGTTTCTTACGCAATATTATAAAGTGACCCAACCCCTAAAGCTATGATTAGTTTATGGTTAGGTGGGAGGGATGCTGTCTGTGTACTTGTCACAGGTCACCGATTTTAACCCCATCAAACAAGGTAACATGTTATGTAACATGTTTATTGAAGGGATTGACTAAAGCAGGGTTCCACATGTAGATTGGTTTGCTGTCCCAAGATCAGTAAATACAATTAAACATATATTTCAAGGGGTCTTGTAACCTATATGTTAATAGATTAAGATTTAGGGGTATTTGGATTCAAATACCACTGGAGAAGACCCCAAGGAACCCAGAACCACACTGAATTGTTGGTGGCTGCAGATTCATTGCTTATGCTTGACTATTTTGCTTTCATGTATATTTGTACTAGACCTAGATTGAAACTTGTGTCTTTCTGTCCCCTTTTAACACCTTTTATCCTTTCTATATCAAAAACCATGTACCAAAACTGAAGTCATGGAAACCAGTGAAGGATGCAATGTTTTGACCATTACTTGTTTATACAGTCTTTCAGGGATACCATTTAGGCTAATCCAGTTGTCTTTTGTGTTGGTTTTTCTGTGAATTTGTTGTTTTCATAGTGTGAGAATTAGGATTTCAAGTTGTTTTGATCAATATTATTGTCCATTAGTATGATATGATTTATGATGTTTCCTTTTGCTTCTCTGTAAACAATATGTGTCCATGTGCAATTTCTTGTAGGAAGTGATATGTATGGTGTTGCATTGTCATTGGTCTGCTTTAGTGAAACAGGTGAGAATTTTGCAAGAGGCTTCTATTAGTATCATCATCAGGTTGCATTACAGGTTTCAAGGTTTGTTTGAGGGGCAGCCTAGTGGTTAAAGCATTTGTTCGTCACCCCGAAGACCCAGATTCGATTCCCCCCAAATTGGCACAATGTGTGAAGCCCATTTCTAGTTTCCCTGCTGTGATATTGCTGGAATAAAGTAAAAAACTAAACTCACTCATCCAAAGTTTGTTCGACTGTACCCATAATATTAATTCATTATTTTTTATGTTGCCTCTGCAGTTAACTAACTTATTATAGGTCACTCCTTGGATGCTTAGCATGTACTATGTAGAAATAGGAATATAATACCATAGCACTCCAAAGTTGTGCTCCATAAGTATCCTTTATTTCCATTAGCAGACAGTATCTTTTGTTGGCTGGGGTAATAAACAGTATTTCAACCTGAAGTTGAATATGACAAATATCCTTCATTTCAGAAAGTTAGGACATATTTTGTGTTGGATAGGGGGATAAACAGAATTACATCCCAAAGTAATATGTCCCAAGCATCCATCATTCTCTTAACAGATATCATCTTCTGCTGGATAGGGAATATATAGGAATGTTGTCTAAAGTGGTTCACCAAAAAGATTTTTCATTTCAGTTAGAATGTTGTTTCTTGTGTTTGATATGGGAGTATATAGTATTGTATCTAGACTAACATCTAGTCACTGAAATGAACATATTTTACAGAAAAAAACTTCATAAAACATGATCATGAAATATAATGAAAAAGAGCCCAGAGACTTACTTTCTTCATTCTTCTGGATATACACATATTGATAGAATAGAAAGCAAAAGGCTGGGACAGAAAATCCAGTCAGTAACTCATTAGTGTGTTCAGAATATACATAGTTTACAGTATAACAATGTTGCTCAAGAAAGGGGAACACCAAG